GGCCTGGGAACTGGCCTGGTCTTAAGTGTCTTCATCGGGTAAGCCCATAAGAAAAACTCCCCTTCACCTGGCACATTCATAGGGACATCAACAAACAACAGAAAGACTACGGGATAACAAAAACTAAAATATCAGGAGTACTCACCACTTTCTGCTTGGTAAATGCTATGGTCTGAATATGATTTGCCTGCATGAAACTAACACTGAGGCTTGGTCCCCCTAGTAATGGTGTTGACAAGTGGTAGGGCCTTTAAATGACATTTGGATCATGACAGATCCCCCTTCCTGGAAGGATTAACATAGACTTGTGTGACAGTGGGTTGCTATGCATGTGTCAGCTCCTCCATCCCTCTCTCCTGCACACGTCTACTCCCCTTCTGCTTCTGCCTCCACCGGAAGCCAAGCAGATACCAGTGCCATGTTCTGGAACTCCCAGAACTGTGAGCTACCTACACTTCTTTCTTTATAAATTGCCCAGTCTCAGGTATTCTGCTAGAGTAACAGAAAACAGATTAAGACAGCATGGCTTTGTATGATGGAATCATTTTTCCTGCTTCTCCAATGACTCATAAAAAGGAAGGAACAAGGTGGTAGCTTCAGATTAATGGGCTATTCTGATAAGCCATTCTTAACCTCAACACAGTGTTACAATGCAAAGATTTCAAAAACTGGAAATTCATGGTTGCTAGATTACATTTTTCCTAAAAGCAAAATATCAGCCTTCTTTGAAAGAGAGGAAATCATCATTTTATCATGGAATTTCCAAGTTAATATTTGTGAAAAACTTGATACTAGGAAAATAATGACTCTGCATTGCATCACTAAAATATGTCTGAAAATCTCGAAGGGATAAGAAGAAACTCAGATTCCAGATCACATTTTCAGTTCTACAAGGAAGGGCCATCTGAAAAAACTATGTTTCTAAATCCCTAGGTTGATGGCTTTTTTTTTTTTTTTTTTTTTGACAGGCAGAGTGGACAGTGAGAGAGAGAGACAGAGAGAAAGGTCTTCCTTTGCTGTTGGTTCACCCTCCAATGGCCGCCGCGGCCGGCGCGCTGCCGCTGGTACACCGCGCTGATCCGAAGCCAGGAGCCAGGTACTTCTCCCGGTCTCCCATGGGCTGCAAGGCCCAAGCACTTGGGCCATCCTCCACTGCACTCCCTGGCCACAGCAGAGAGCTGGCCTAGAAGAGGGGCAACCGGGACAGAATGCGGCGCCCCGACCGCAAGGGCCGGCACCGCAAGGCGGAGGATTAGCCTAGTGAGCCGCGGCGCCGGCCGGTTGATGGCTTTCTACTACCAACTCTGATAAAAACAGAATGATAGCGAGGGATCATCAGCCTCCCAAATAGACTTGTTCACAATGGCACAGCTAATGGGTCCAGAGATACCTAGCATGGCACTAGTGCAGAGCCTGGAAAACACCATCTATGATTCACTGGATGATTTCATTTGCCCACGTCTGTGGTTAAGAACAAAGTCCTCTTTATTGTCACTCCTTCACTATTGAAGTAGTGCAACTGGAAGCTGTGTTCGCGATGCCAGATTTGGAAACAATCCTCACGAATGCACGGCAACATCATGAATTTCATACATAATCTCCTGTACATACCAGACACTGAGATCTCAAGAGAGACATGGAGCTAAAATATAACATCAAGATAAGCAGGGGCCCGAACACGGTGAGGTATTACCAGTGACTTCCCTGAGAGAGGAGCCCACAAATGCCACGTACTCCCATGTGTTATTTACACTGCTTTTGCTAACTGTCCCCTTCCAACTCCAACACCATTATTTCAACAGTCTGTGTCACTCTGACCATCACTGCCACTTCTGGCCGAGTATGTACACACTCTGGCGACCTGTCCTTGACCACTCACACAAATCAAAAAAGAGTGTCTGATGAGGATGTGAAATAGTGTGCATTTGGCTGTCTTTGTGAGCACAGAGTTCTGCTCCCACGCCCAAGCATACCCTCCACCCATGGGAGCTCTGGTTTGCTGGTTCCTCTGCCTCCTGTGGAACTGGTGAAGTATGCTCAATTATCTGGGCTGCTGAAAGGCCTTCTGCCTTTGCCCAGCTCAAGAAGGTCTTGCAGTTACCTGCTCTGCACTCTGTACAGTTATTTACAGGGTCTTATTTTTCTTAAGTGCCCATTATGAGCTGCTGTTTCAAGCCTAATGGCTTATTTAGTTAACTGATATCATCATTGGCTTTCAAGTATCAAGCATGAACCTTGGGAACAAAGGAAGAAATATTTGCCTAGTAGTTTATATCTTTCTTCCAGCCCCCAAAAGAACAGGAGCTTTGGGGAAAGTAATTGCTGACTACATAATTTGTGAGTCTATTGGCATTTCATGGGTAAAGGACTCAGCCTGTCCTCTTGTTCACATGCATACACAGCCTGACTCCCCAAGGAATGTCAGTGGTGTGTTCTGGTGTTGCCAAGGTGGCTGTAATTATCATCCGAGACTTTCCTCTCTGTGCACACATGCTGCATACCATACCTAGAACTGCAACTGTAATTTGTTGATTTGGGAGGGTATTTGGAATTCTCTTTTACAACTGTAGACTGCATTGTTAGAGTCTATTATTCCTCGTTTATCAGAGACAGCTCAAATACATACTTATGGGATGAGTCTCTTAAAAACTATTTGGGAGAATGTCATTTAGTTGGGAATTATAAAAAATTTTGCTTGGGAATTAAAACACATTTTAGGATATGAAGGCATTTCGAAAAATTTCTGGAAAATTGAACTAAAGACAGCTTTATTTTGGGGCAATATTTTGAAATCCATGCATAGTTGGGGGGGTCTTAAAAAGTTCTCATAAAATGCATATTACAAAAGAACTACAGACAAATTTCAAAATTTTTTTCACCAATATACTTAAATTTAACTTCCATTTTTCCACAAACTTGTTGAAATCTGTATAAGCTTGTATAAAGCTCCTTCTGCTGGGGTTATGAATTCAAGTATATATTTCCTTTATTCCCTTATTTACTCATTCATCCACCCATTCAGTAAGTGTTTATTGAGTACTGACTTTGTGCCAAGCAGTGTGCTAAGTTCTAGAGGTGCTCAACTTGATTCTGTGGGACCAGTCTGGAGGTATTGGGGTTATCAGTAGAGGTACCAGTCTTCTAGCAGAGATTATGCCCCTAAACAATGACAAGTCTTCTGCCTCTGGTGTCCACAGTTCAAAAACAATTCCAGGAACACTTCCTGGATGGAGATACATTCTTCCACACCTCTATTCAACAAACACTACTTATACCAGGCATTGTGCTGAGCCCCATTACAATGCTACTTCTTGCTCCAAACATTCCTTACCTGGCGGTGTTCTGAGTTCCCAGCCACAGTGGTGACCATTACAGTTCAAGGGGAGAATACCAGTAGGTGAACTTGTACAAGATGATAAAGAAGAGGACCCAAGAGAGGTGTATGCTACTGGCAGAAGCGCTTATTATGTGAGGATCCCAGCTATCACATGTAGAGGGGACAGGTCCTCTCAAGGCCAGCACTGAGTAACTTTTTTAACTTTCTTGAAATTATTCAAATTCCTTTGTCACTGCCACCAACTATTGTTTCTGAACCTCCCTTCCTCTCCACCAACATCTCTCAACCCTGTAATTCTAGTGTCTTCTGACTTTTTACAATTTTCTAGTTCCCAGAGTGCTCTCAGAGTCCCTTGGGGGAATGGTAGTAATGCTTCCCAAGGTGTGTTCTCCAGGCCAGCTGCATCAGCATCCTCTGGGAATGTGTCAGAATGGTTTAGACCTTACTCCACACATGCAAAATCAGACCCTGGGTACAGGTGGGGCCAGCAAGAGTTGAAGACCTCCAGGTGATGCGGGTGCCTGTTCAACTCTGGTAACTACTGATTCAAAGGAGTACTAACAGTTTTATATTTAACTCAAGGCAAAATAGAACACAATGGTCTACTCCCTGGCCTCTCAGACCTATGTCCCGTGAAGGCGGCCATCCCAAGTGCTGTGTGTGGGATTCAGAGGGAGGCCCCATTCCAGCCTCAGCTCCACCATAACCTCTCCATGGACTCTCAGTACAGGCCAGCACATTTCTGAGGGTGGAGTTCTCCACTGCAACCTGAGGCTGTGAACCCAGAGATCTCCTCACCTTAGTGGTCCATATGGGCTCCTTTCCATAGTGAAGTGGTTCAAGGCTGTGAGAAGGGTCAGCCACCTTGGGTATGGGGCATCTCACATCCTCATCAGAGTCGGGCAGAAACTTATAGTGCTGGGGTTCTTGATGTTGATGAGAAAGCCAAAGGCAGCAGAAGTGGGAAGGGTCAAGGAAGGACCAGGAATCTCTCTAGTGGGCTATCCCCAGGACGAGTAGAGAAACAGTCACCAGGTTGAATATGGTCAACACAGCCAGCTGGACGGGATAATTTGGAGGGTACCCAGGAACACTTGTGGGATGAGCAAAGGCCCTTGAGTCATGGCTCCTCCCTACATCCCATCACACATCAGGGGGCCTGAGTGCGCTGTCACGGGGTTGAAGAAGAACCCACCGCAAAAACACTAGGGACTGAAGACACAGAGGTCTCACAAGCCCTGGAAAATCATTTGACCATTCTGAGCGTCAATCTACTATTTCTAAAATGGAACAGAAATTTGTCTGCTTTCCCTATCTCATGAGATAAAGTACATGTTAAAGTCATTGCTGAGGTAATGAAAAAGCTTGGGGGGGAATACTTCTAAATGGTGCCCTTACGGGAGGGTGATCATCTATTTCACGATATATGACTGAGGGGAGAGCATATACACCCCAAGATCTGGGTGCAGGCCAGAAGCACTTTGGATTCCTCAATAACCCACTGTGTTTCTTACTAATTCATGGAAAAGAGCGAGCCTTTGGCCTTGGTGTGCATTCAATAAACCAATGCAGATCTATCCCCAAAGCATTTAAGCATCTGACTTTTCACAATCAGCAGCAGCAGCAGCAGGTGGATGGTGTCCTTTCATCAGTACCCCCTTACCTGGGTCTCAGCGGCAGTGTTTTCACTCCTCCAGTCTGGAAGCGGCTCTGTTGCCACTGAGTTGTTGGCATAGTCCAATGACGAGCAGGTCTGGGGCCCTGGCTCTGCTTCATCCTGCTTTTGCGAACCAATTTTTCCTAAGTGGGGAAACACATGAGAAGTCATAAACCAGCTTTCATGAGCCTTTTATGATGTTGGGGAGGGAGGAGGGAGAGACATTCAGAAATCATAAAGAGATCTGAACATATTGAAACCTGGGGTCTCTGCCTTTGTGTCCCCACTAAGATTGTGTTACCTCCATATTTACAAAAGATGCCTGCTTTGGAGACCCTACGGCAAACCGTCCAGGGATCACTTTCTTACAAAATGTTGAAATACTTTTCAGGTCAGAAAGGATTCAGTGGGCACACATCTGCAAAACACTGAGGCTACTGTTCAGGTAACTGTATACATCAGATCACAAGCAGGTTTCTTTTTCTTTAAAAAGACTTCTCAGATCCCTCAGAGCTAATGGGTATCATCGTAGTTTCCAGAGAAAGGATTCAAATTTGCAGCCTTGCCAAAATGTATTTGAGTAAGGAATCCGTATTTTCCTAGAACACATCCTAAGCTCATGTTGAATAATACTGTCTGGGAAACTTCTCAGAGATGTTAAGAGATCTTTCAGGACAAGACTTTGCAAGCTTCATTGTGCTGTGCACACGCATCAGCTGAGCGTTTGTTAAGTTGCAGATGCTGATTCAGCAGGCGTGTGGTGGGCTCTGAGCCCCTGTGCTTCTGACAAGATCCTGGATTATGCTGGCTTTGAGGAGCAAGGGTAATTATCAGAGAATGATTAAACGAAGTTTCCCCATTACCCATAATAGTAGATTAACCCGCAGAGTCTATGCTTTTGCCATGCCAGGAAGGAAGATCGCTTCAATGATTATCAATGGAACACGCTGTGACAACTTCTCCATAGCGTTTTGTTTGTGAGCAGAAGCTAAGTAACTGCATTTTTATTAGCACCATGAGGCTTTTATAGTTACCTACATCTTTGATATGGGGATAAGCTGAAAAACAGCATATATATATATATATATATATTGCACAGGAAACGACTGTTCTAAAGCAGTGTAATTCTATTTTCCTTTAGCTCCAGCTTCTTCTCCATTTTTTAACTTTCAACATATGTGGACACAGAGAGAAGAGAAGCATTGGCAAACTGACCCTACCTCTGACCACAGATATCATTGGATGGACAGGAAACTTCAGGATGGGTGGCGACAGAATGTCCTGCACTATATTCACCTCACTTCTACCTCATTCTGTTTTTTAAAATTTCTTTAACAATCTAATTAAGACACAACCCTTAGAAACCAGGTGCAGTGACTCTTAGTGGCGAGATCAGAGCAATCTCCTTCCTCTCTTCTTATGAAGCAATTCAAGGCTTGTGGTTTCTATTCAATTTGTTATAATGACAGTGTTTAATCATGGAGTCTACTCAGCAGCCCGCTGCTGAATTGAGGTTACACAAGTGACTATCCAGGCATGGAGCACATAATCTATAACTAAGATTTTGCCCCGGACTCTCTGGAGGCTGTGTCATTAATTAACGGTGCATTTATTTAAAAATATTGTGCTTACAGCTTTTGAAAATGTAGTTTTGGCTTGGAGTGAGCAGAAATTTATAACGAAACATTCTTGGCAATTGGTATTACTATATGCAGGATGAATTCCACCATGGGAATAGACTGATCAAATTTATTCAAAGATGTTTAATTAAAAACCTTCTTTTCTAATTTCTTAGAAGCCTATGGTACAATCTCCACTTGCAGTTCTATTGTAATCATCAAATCAGAAATGAAAGTGTTTAATCTGCAGTTCTAGTTCATTGTGTACGCACATCAGAAAGGTAACAGAAGACATACAAGTTAACATTATTTAGTATCATCTTAGGCTGCAATAAATATTTTTAATCTTGAGAGAACAACGAAGAAATGGTGACCCTTAGCCTGGGCCTGTCTGTAATCATGAAAGCCTGTTTCAATTGCCTGTGACTAAGAATAGTATTCCTCAATGCAAAGACTCACTCCATTCTACCCCATTATTGCACAATCTACTGCTGATATATAAAACTAAGTCTTTTATAGTTCAACATATAAATATATTTGAAAAAGACTAGGAATAAGTCCAAAGACATATGCTTCTGGTTAGAGGGCAAATAGCGTTTCAGCTAAATTTATGTGTTGGCTTAAACTTGTCTGTGTTCAATAGGACCATCATAAACCATTTTAAATTTTAGAAGATAAAGTCCCATGAATGTATGTTGTATGGGTTTTCTTTTAATCAATTTATATGTCAATTAAAAAGGTGTTTATGTGGTATTTAATGCACATGCAATCCTTAATACTACAGGCTAATAAGGCCTTACCCATGCTGTTTTCCATTTTGGGTGGAGGACATACAGGGATTTTCACCACCCCACATTTCCACTGGGCAGAGGTCACTGACTTACTTCCTGGCACAAGTTTTCCATTTGTCTCAGCAAGTGCATTACTATGGGTAAGAAAAACATTGTGTTTGAAAGGCAATGGGCATTTTACCTGAGGAGACCGGTTTGGGGAGGCAACTCTGAACAGGTCGCACCCCTCTGGCCAACATGATGGGGTCAGATGTGGAGTGAACAATTGTATTCTCTGCAGAGAGCTGGTTGTCTGTGGAGGAAGGCACTTCTCGTTCAAGGGTTTGGGCTCTGAGGGAACAAGCTGCAGGGAGGGCTGGCTGCAGAGACAGCAGGGGCTCAGTGTCCTCTGGGGAGTCTGGCTGGCATAGGTACCGTCCCATGGAGCGATTTCCCGAGTCTGGGAGTGGGAATGTTCCAATCCCACTGTCCAAAGTCCTCATCTGGCAGTTTGATTCTGAGACAGAGTAACAGAAGATTAGAGAAGGCTCACATCGAAGAATAAAAGGATCATGGGTATTTAGGGTATGATGGGAGGAAAAGGAGATACATAGAAGGGAAAATTCAAGAAAAACAATAAATATTTAGAAATAATATTAGTGACATAGCAAATTTCCAGGGACGCACACAAAATGGACATTTGAGTATGAAAATATTCCCCTCACATGATATAAGAGTAACAGGCACATAAACCTGGATAGTTCTCTAGAGTTATAATAGGAAACAAACCATTATTAGAGACCCACTATTATTTTTGATCACCCTTATTTCAGCCTGGGAATCAAGAGACTGCAACCAGATAAAATTTATTAACTGAAATAACATGAGTAATGAGCACACATAACACATTGAAGTGATGTCCTAACAAAGGTAACTGTGCACGAGCAGTTGACTAAACCTCTGGCCTCTTAATTTGGGATGATAAGTAATTCACAGCTGAAAGGGCCATCTCAAAGCGTACCTTACCCACTGTAACATCACTTATCATGTGAGCTTCATTTGACCCAAGCACCACTTGATACCTTATGAAGATGACCACAGAGCCACTTCATGTCTTTCACCCTTCACTTAGTACAATGATGAAACTCATCCAGTACCCTTTATATTCTTTTGTCATGTCTAGGGATCCCACTATTCTCTAGAATTAAACTAAAGTGATTTCACCACATATGTGACATATTAACTATGCCCCATCTTTAGAAAATTTTATATAGATACAATATCTGAGAAATCATTACATATTTAATTTCTGCAGTGGTGTTAGGTTTTATCCTAGCCAGTGAGACAGCTTTCAATATCTTCTGGTTATCCACAAGATCTTCTGTCCATAAGGCCATCTTGAGAGAAGCTTCCTAGATCCATCTTATAAGCATCTCCAAAGTCTAGCACTGGGAAGACATACCATTTAGCATCTGTTAGGCAAGGTGAGGAATATAATAATTGTGATGTGATCCTTGAATCAAAAGCTCAACAGTTACCACTTTTTAGTGCTTTATGGAGCAGTGGCTTGTGGTACAGTCTCTGGCAACAACTAACTGTATGAAACCTTGGGCAAGAACCTTAATTTCTCAGGGTCTCAGGCTCTCCATAGGGGTTGCTGTAAGTATTAAAATATGTTTACCATCAAATCCCTAGAATTCAGAATGGCCACATTCATTACATACTAGTAGCTATTGATTAGGCAAGTAGCTCATCCCTAACTATGTTTTGTACAGAATCTCATTTCATACTCAAAAAAATAGTATCCAGATTTCAGAATCTGCCATTCCCTACCTCCTCCTGCAAATCTCTTTGCTATGAGAATTCTTGAAGCTTCTTAATGCCACAGCAAAAACAAAGGGGTAAGAGGTAGGAACATATTTGGCTTTTCTAGGTTCCACTAGGCTCGATACTCGGTTCTGGAAGTACTTAAAAGATGAAACTCTCCATTGAAAAAGAAGAGGCCTTAGTCTCCACAGGGATAGTTAGCACAGAGATACAGGTGTCATTCTCTCTGTATTGTACCATCTAGCCATAGCATATGGCATCAGCTCTGAGTTTGATAGTTTAGCTGTAGAAGCCTGTAGCTGTGTGATTCAGTGGAGCTGTGCCTGAGAGTTGCCTTTCTTTCCCAGAATCAAAAGGCTAAATTTTATTTATTTAAAAAAATGTTTATTTTCATGTAATTTGAAGGGAGAAGGAGAGGAAGAGAGAGTTCACTCCTCAAATGCCTGTAACACTCAGGGCTAGGCCAGGCCTAAGCTAGGAGCTCAGAACTCCATCTAGGTCTTCCATGTGGGTGGCAGCAGCCCAACCACTTGAGTCATCATTGGTTGCCTCTTAAGATGCATTATCAGCAAGCTAAATCAGAAGCAGTGCAGCCAGGACTTGAACTACGCCCTCTAATATGGAAAATGGGCATCCTAAGTGGTGGTTTTACCTCGTATGCAAAACACCAACTCCAGGACTAAGTTTTAGCCCCACTGGTTTTATGGTCTCCACTTGGTCATCTTTACTCTCAACCTTTGTTCATTTTCTTCTCAACTAAGGGGACTTAATTGTTATAGAACAGCCTTTTTGAGAAATATCAGCTGTCTGAATAGGGATAAGTTGTCAGAGGAGTTTTAAAAAGAACTCACTATTCAAAATTCTGTGTCTTTTTCTTAATTTTCAAGTAGCCATACAACACTCTTCAGGTTTAGTATGTTGATGTGTTATATTGGGACAGTCCTGAAGTCTCAGATATGTCAGAGTTACATGGAAGCAGAATTCATCAGAAATGATCCAGTCTTTTGAGATTGAAATTTAAGATTTATGGGATGTAACATCTAAGATATGTTAGAACCCATGTACCTCTGGACACTGGCCCTAATGATTTACTCTGCACATGTTCTGACATGTATACCTCAAAAAAGGAGTGCTCAGCAGTGTGGTACAACTTTTCTTTTAAGATGAACCATCAGTGGTTTTGCTGTTTATTGCAACAACCAGGAGTTCACTGCTTGATATCATCTCTTCATCTTCACAACTCTCTAAGGTACCAATTATTACCACCACTCACAACTGAAGAATCAAGACTCAGAAAGGTTAAGCAATGTGTTCATGGCCATATGCTATAAAATAAAGAAGCTGGAGTTGAAACTAAACTTCTGTGAGTATAAAGACAATGCTCTTAACCACCAACATATACTCATTCTCCTGAAGGATACAGGTAAATTCAAGGGACATCCACTTAGTTGATAGCCACTGAGGCAGTCAGGTGAGCAGAATATTATATGTGGTCCCCTGCTGCAAGGCAAAGGCATCCAATTTTTCCTTTGGAATTGGCACTTCCCAGAGATCTAGCTTGGTTCCTGGGCCCTCATTCTGAGGTTGAAATATACTGTTAATATTCCAGGCATCTATCTTGGCATCTATCCCAACATACCATGTGACCCAAGGCAGGATGCTTACACACCCTCATCTCTAAAGTTACTGAGACCTACAATCAGGTAGTAACTCCTCCCTCTCTTAAGATTTACCTTGCCTCTCAGCTTGTTGATAAGCATGGCCTCCAAGAGCTGTGTTTTTCTGGCTTTGTCTCTTCCCTCTACATCTTTCCTGGCTTGGAGAGTACTTAACCCAGTCCCTTAAAATGAGGATTCCAAAGGCAAAGTAAGATTTTTGGCTGCCTTTTCAGTGATTATTTGGGGATAAGCTCCAAATCCAAAGCACACACGTTTTCCTGGCCCACAACACAAACCATGGGGCAGCTGTAGGATATAGGACAGAAAGAAGGAAGGGATTTAGGGTCAATGGAAAAAATGGTGAATGAAGTCTAAGTCTGGCCATCTTCAGAGGACACCAGCATTTCCTGTTCCCTGTCCCCTTCAATTATTTTCCTTTCTCCTCAACACATAGGATTCCCATACCAGAATCTATGATTCTCTGAGAATTGTGTGCACTGACATTGAGTTCAGAAACCACTTGCTATTAAGGCCATTTTTTATTTCTAAAAATTCCAGATGCCAAATGTACTGAATGTGAATGACTTATTTGAAACTTCCTATGAAATGAGGTGTAGACATTCAGGGGCTCAGACTTTCACCCTCAAGCAAATTTCTCCAGAATGCAAAAACCTTGGGAAATCAGAGTTTATATGGAAAATGCTGACACTGGCTTTATAGAGTTTCTTTAAAGCACTATTAGTTTCTTGCAGTTCATAAAAATATTGTAACCTGAAAGTGTGGTAGATACTGTACTTCTGAAGCCAATTTTTTTCCTCAGAGAATTATAAGAATTCACAAAATAATTAAATGGCTGTAGGAGGAAGAAAGTTCAAAAGAGCAAGCCTGCCTTGCATCTTCAATGACTGGACTTAGTCTAGTTCTCAACAAGCCTGAGCCCTCGTTTGAGGTTGTGGGTGCAGCTGCCAACAGGGCCTTGCAAATTAGTTGAAGGGCTGGGTTGTGGGACTAAGTGTGTGCCATTCTTTCTAGGTTGCCAATTATACTGTTGACCCTGGCCAGCCTTCTCACCTGTCTCCATTGTCCCATTACCTTCATCTTATCTATCTCTCTAGGTAACTTCTCACACTTATCACCACAGAAAGTCTAAGGCATTACATGAATGACTTAGGGTACCGCATCCCACCCATTCTAGTTAGGACTCACACAGAAAACATAAGGCTCACTGAAGGAAACAACAGCTCCCAGGACCTCTGGGGACCTGTGGGCTGGGGGGGGGGCATCATCTCAGCACACCTGTGATCCATTTAGGGCACATCAACAACATAATTAGGAACTTTTTACTTGCTTATCCTGCATATATCTGGCATGCAAGGAGATGGATGTGTGATCAGTCTCTTAGCAAGAGACACAGGACTTTCTGTAAGGCCCTCCTTTTTGGGGAAGAATGCTGAGACAGCTTGGGTTAGGAATATTACCTGGTATCAGGCTTCAGTAAGGAGGGAAGTTACTGTATCTGAGAAGGAAATGAGTTGCTTACGGATGAGCGGCCACCATTGGTGATGTGATGTTGGTGAAGAGGAACATTTGGAGAAATGTTTCAATATAAAGTCCCCACTCATCTTGCCAACAAGTGTGACCTTGCTGCTTTCCTCATCTGGAAACCAGATCACGTTATCTTCATGATAGAGGTATCAAAGTATCTGATACACCCATCACAATGCTTCCAACAGGCACACTGTTATTACTCAGGAATGGCAGCATTTCTCAAAATAAGTGTTATTAGACTGTAACTATTCTTGTACAGAACTGGATTTTATTAATCTCCTCTGCATTCTGATATAAGTCCATTCCTGCTGCTATCACTGCCTTTACTCCACAGCATGGTAAAATTATATGCATCAGTCTGAGGGGGTCTCTGAGTCCCTCTTCATCACCAGTACTCAGTCATCACCTGACACATAGTCAGCCTTCACTGATGGGTAAGAATGCATGGATGGATGAAAAACAATAGATCATTGTTATACTGACT